CCCATGATGTGCACAGTCCCAGACGGTACTTGCTTGACTGGACCGGACTGGGCTACCTGGGACTGCTGACTGGGCTAGGTGGACTACCACCACTTGACCACTTGCCTCTGCTGAACACAGGCCAACTCCGAAAGGCCAGTTCTAGAAACCTCTACGTTGGCCCTTCGGTACTGTAGCAGCTACGACTTTGCCSTTTCAGGTAAGTAGCAGCTACGACCTTGACTCTTCAAGCAGCCTACAGCTACCACTTCGGAACTGTCTAGACTCCTAATCTATAGGTCTATAGTTCAATTCCCTTCTACCCTGTGACCTACGACGAATTGCCTACCACTGGCGTTCCTACAGGTCGCAGGTTCAAGTCTACGGGTTGACACTGATACTGTACACAGGTAAGACGGGGATCTAGGGATCGAGCCCTGGGATCTGCATTCGCTACCACGAACTGGTGAATACCGTTTCAGCCCTCCTACAGGGACCCAAATCCGGTCTTATATGTTGTTTTGGCTCATGTCAGTTTGGAGGGTCAGGGGAGGGGGTTAAGGGCCTTAAAGGAGCTTGAAAGGGGTTGAAACTTAAAAGGCCTTTAAAGGGTGTGAGATGATTTTCCTTACATTATTTTAAATTCAAGTGCTGTGAAGAATTTGGAAGTGACCCTCAGCCAAAAGTTGTTTGGCTTGCAATTCTGCACAACATACTTTTTCTTTCAATTTTTTTTTATTTTTGCGAGGATTCTGTGTCCTCGGCAGGCTTAAGGGGCCCTGTTGCAAATGTGCCTGCCCTAAGCGAAGGCGGTCCTAACAAAATCATGAGAGGCCCTCAGCTCTCAATTTCATATTTGGGGTCCAGGCAGTTTCGATGTGCCAGTTGGTTGAGGGAAACACAGGCCGAGCAGCAAGACATTCCACGGCCTTCCGGGCTTTTCCAAAAATGCAGGTCCTGGGCGAGAATCGCAGCCTCATACACAGGCAGTTAGGAGGCCCAACCAAACGGAGGCCCAGCAGCAGCATCGGAGGCACAGCCTCCTGAGGCCTACCGGAAGCTTCTGGGCCGAGGCCCAGGCCAGCCAGGCCGCCGATAGAGGCAGGCTCTTTCCATATAGGAAAGAGCTCGCTGCCTGGCCAGGCATTCAGGCACTTGCTGGCTGGCGGCAGCGCTGCCAGAGCTTTTGCTCGCGTGCTGGCTGCTAGTGCTGGAGCAAGGTGCTGCGCACGTGCGGTCGTGTGTGGAAGCAGGGCGCTGCTGAGGGCAGCGCCATAGCCCAGCCTCCATAGCTGGCTGAGGGCTTGGTTGTACAGTGAGGCGCAGGGGTGGTCTTCGGGTGTAGTGAGGGAAGACGTGGGTGTAAGAAGAGGGAGAGAGAGAGAAGGATGATGATGATGATGATGTGAGGGCACATACCTGGTATTGGCGATGGTCTGCATTGGGCGACATCTTCAAGTACTTCGTGAGCTGCTGCCGTTAACAGTTGCATTGTCAATTAGTAGGCAGACTGTAGCTGTGTAGGAAGTAGGCTGGGCGCCGAGCGCCAAGTAGGGAGATAGGGCCTGAACACTCATGTTGGTGGTGGCGAGAGCAAGCTCTCATTGACATTGGTTTTCAGTGTTACGATTCTTCATTGGTGTTATATTGGTGCATTTCTGCTTTCCGGACACTGTGATACTATCTGGCCTTCAATGTGATCGTGCATTCTGGACATTGTCATCTCGCTATTGCTCATTTTCCTTGCATTTTTTTTTTTTTTTGATGGGATATGGGCCGGGACCCTGCCCAGCCCAGTTGCCCGGCCGGTCGTCCCGGGCAGGTCCCATCCCAGCTTTGGGGACCCGGGTGGCACGGATGGTAGCCCAGGAAAAAAGTTAAAAAAACAATATATTGTGCAGCATTGCAATACAAAAATCTTTTGGCTGAGGACCATATTGAAATTCGTAGCCAAATCCGAGGGGGGGGGGGGGGGGGGACAACAATTTGTTTTTATTTTAGAAAGTTTTTTTTTCAATCCGGACGGTCTGGAGCAGTCCAGACACAGGTCCGCCCGGACGTCTGGACTGGTCTGGTGTCCGGGTCCGGTGTAAC